AACTCTTGATCTCCATTGTGTCTACCAAATCTGAGGTTGCCATCATCGAATCTACTCCCGTCGATTGTCCTTGGCAAATAAGGTTCTTCCTTTCATCTCATTCCTTGCCTTCCTTACTGTCAGTGCTTTGTTCCTCTATCTTTTGACTTTTTTTCTTCTTCTTCATCATCTAATGCTTTTCTTTGAATTCTTGGTGGAGGATTTGTTTTTTCTTCTTTTCATTCCTTTAGCCTACGTTGCTTCTCTTTTCATTTAGTTTAGTCTTTTTCATTCCTTTAGCCTGTGCTGCTCCTCTGTTCATTTAGTTTAATCTTTTTCATGGCTATATGTCTACTTTGCTCCTCTATTTTTTTTGAATCAGTGTCCTTTCTTTGTAGTCTTTTTTAGTTCAGTTTCTAATTTGAACTTCATCCTTAGCCGTAGAGTTTGGATCTTTCAAGGTTTCTCTTTAGCTATTTTTCCTTGAAATGCTTCCTTTCTCATTTTCTTTTTCTTTGAGAATCTTGGTCGAGTGTGTTCAGAAGGTGTGAAGGTCATATTCGTTGCATGAAGTTGATTTCCAAATGTTGATCTATTCTTCGGGTTTAGTGTTGGGGTGCTTCTAATCGACTATGTTTTTTTCCCTTCCTTATTAGCTACTCGTGGCTGTGGGAAATCAGTTGTCCTTGTTTTATCAATTGCTGTTGCTATTGCTGTGAGGTAATGTGCTTTATATACATTCAGATATGAATTTATATACACATACATACATACATATATATATATATATATATACATATCCATTTAGGATATAGTAATGAAAATTTGGGCATATAACAGTTTATAATGAACATCTTGTGTTATTTATAATGTGTTTCCTTCCTTATTTTAAAAATGAACAGATGCAAATATTGTAAATTTTTAGAACTCGAGTTTTTGAATTTGAAAAATGCCAAATTGAAAATCTGGGCATATAGCAATTCCTTCCTTATTTTAGGATTATTATTTTTATTTAGTTTTGATGTGACTCTAGGATATGGTGGTAAATTGATGCATATATGCAAAGATATTTATTGATTTTGCATGTTTGTGATGGTTGGCTAGTTTATAGAACAATGAACATTGATAAAGGAAAAGTTGTGTGGAATTCAACCTTGACAGAAATTTTCATTAAGGAATGCTTAAAGCAAGTGTACAAGAAATAAAGGAAAGGAACTGCTTTCAACAAAAATGGATAGCAAGCAGTAATTGAGGGGTTTGAGGTAAAAACAAGAAAAATGTATGATCAAAAGCAACTAAAAAATAAACTGGACAACATGAAGAAAGAATAGAACATATGGTATGAATTATTTTCTAGTGAAATTGGCTTAGGATGGGGCAATGTTGTCGATGCTCTGGATGAGTGGTGGGAGCGAAAAATCTTGGTATGGAATAGTTATTAAGTGTTTTTTAGATTAGAATTTAATTTGAGAATCTTAATTATTGAATAGTTGAATGCTTGTAGGAGAATCTCGTTTATGAAAAATTTAGACATAAAGGGTTGAGGTTTGTAAGGGAATTAACCTTAATATTCAGGGATATCCTGGCAACTGGGGAGACACTGTTTATGCCATTTGCTACCCAAACCTAAATAGAGGATGATGATGATGATGAAGATGTGTACCGCCCCACTGTTGACCTTCAAGAAGGATCTGGTGATAGTGAAAAGAGTTAAATTTATCTGACATTGCAACACCTATGGGGGTCATTGATAAGTTGTTAGGCTTGAATATCACCACAAATACCAGTAGAACCAGTGGTGATAGAAGTCAAGGCAAGAGAAAGAGGGTTGTAGGAGGTGGTAGAAGGAAAAAGCAAAAAGTCCCTACCTCAATGAAAATAGCAAATGCCATGAGTGAAATAGCTAAGGATAATAAAGCTAGAACAAAGACAGTGAACAAGATTTTGGCAAATGACATAGGAATTTCTGAGGTTGTAGCTCACCTAAATGGACTTCTAGAAGTTTTTGATGATAAATATTTGCATTAGAGATGTGTCAATCTTGTTCTGTACAAGCCTATGTGAGATGCTTACTAGCAACTTAAAGACCATCTTGATCACTTGGTCAATTGGTTAAAGCACCACGTCTACTATCTACTAGATTTTATTTCAAAGAATACATCAGGATGAATTTTTATCTAGGCTTATGATGACTTGATTGGTGTTTGTTTTGACTTAAAGACTACTTGTAGTTGCTTTTGGCTGACTTGTACTTCACTGTACTTATGATGACTTGGTTTGTAGTGAATATTTAACTCTTATCTAATATCTTATGCTTTATTTTTTATGTTGTTGAATGATATTTATATACTATGTATTTTATATTATATACAAATAATATTTACATACTATTTTACCTCAGGTTGAAAATCATGAAAGATTCAAATGAATATATGTTAGGTTAGAATGAAGGTTGGGATGTAGATGTGGCTCATCAACTACTTCCCTTATTACAATAAGATATAACTGAGCAAGAAAAAATATGTCAATTAGTTAGTGAATATGCAATGCCATATGTGTGTAAAGAGCCACGGAGAACTAGCAGGCAAACAGGGCAAATGTGGGTCAATGAGATTTTGTAAGGTCATCCTGATCGTTGTTATGAAATGTTTCGAACAGAAAAAAATTTGTTTAGGTAACTGTGTGCGACACGAGTTGAGCTTGGTCTAAAGAAATCTAAAAAAATAGGAGTTAAAGAAATGGTTGGAGTGTTTTTAAATACAGTTGGACATGGAGTTGGTAATAGGATGATACATGAACAATTTCAGCATTCAAGAGAAACTGTCTATAGAAATTTTCATAAAGTATTAGCTGCCTACCTTAATCTTTTTAAGGCAAACATAAAGCCACTTGATACTTCGTTTCAATGATGTTATTTAAAAATCCAAAATGATCTACGGTATTGGCCATTCTTTAAGGATGCTATAGGAGCAATTAATGGCACTTATGTGCCATACGTGGTTAATGTTGCTGATCATATCAAATTTATTGGAAGAAAGGGATATGCAACACAGAATGTCATGGTTGTATGTGATTGAGACGTGTGTTTTACTTTTGTCATTGCGGAATGGGAAGGTATGGCTCATGATGCTCAAGTATTTGATAATGCCATATTAACTCCTTCAATGTATTTTCTGCATCCACCTCCAGGTATATTTTATTAAAGTCAATATAATTATTATTGCATTGATTTAATGTTGGTCAAATTTATAACACTTCCTTTTATTTAATAGGTAAATATTATTTAGTTAATTCTAGTTATCTAACATTAAATAGGTATCTTGGTCCATATCGTTATGAACGTTATCACCTTCCAGACTTTAGATGAGTTGTAGGATTTGCAAATAATAATGAGGTCTTCAATTATTATCATTCAAGTTTGAGATGCACTATAGAAAGAACTTTTGGAGTATGGAAGAATAGGTTTGCAATTATATAAAAAATGCCCAAATTTAAATATAAAACACAAATTCAAATTGTTTGTGCAACAATGGCAATACATAACTTTATTAGGAGAAATTCAATTACTGATGAATAATTCATACAAGTTGAAGATGAAAGTGTAGATGTCCTTGAGGAAGATATCGATATTGGTGAGGCATCCTCGTCAAATCTACCCAGATCATCAAGATATATGCATCATGTTCGTGATATAATTAGAGATCAGCTTGTAAATCATATCAATTGAATATTAATTTATTTTAGGTTTTTGTGATTGAATATTTAAGATGTTTTACGTATTAGTTGTGATTTTAAATTTAATTTTTTTTACTTATTAGTTAGTCAAAAAATATAATCATGCTTATTTAAGATTTAATATTTAAGAAAAAAATTCATGCTTATTTTTGTCATTAAACATCTCAACTAGCTTTTGAATCAAATTATCCAAACAAATTTCAGTTTATCTAATTGATTTTTTTTAAAAGTATCCAAACATAAATCATGTTACATTAAATTGACTTTTTTTCTAACCTTAATTTGCTAACCTCAGTTAAATTCTAACCTTAATTGTAAATTTTTTAATCCAAACACACTCTATGATGGACATAGTGAGCTTTGTTATAGTCCATAGGCACTATAGAGGGTCAAAAACAGAAGCTTGTGACGTGGCACTGAAGGCTTGGGAGTAGGTGGCTCCATGTCATTCTTATGATTTAGTGTGGTTTTTCTAGAGCGAGAGAGCAGTGAGAGTGAAGGAGGGGAGGAAGCCACCTAAGAGGGGAGAGAGCAGTGACAGAGAGAGAGAGAGAGAGAGAGAGAGAGAACATTCTTGGCCCCATAATTGATTGACATTTATTTGAAATTAATGACAAGGGCAAATTGTTATCGGTTTAAATTTAATTGTTCTGGGTTTAAAATGTACTAAATATGAGTTCAAGGTTTAGATCCCCTAAGCTTATAATTTAGCATCCAAAAAATGATATGCTGTGTATATGATGTACTCCCTTCTATGCCAAATGCCAATTGCCAATACTATTGGACTTAGAGTTATCAATTAAGGCTAAACCCTATCGAACCGGCCCTTTTAAGTTCAAAAATAGTTAAGACTACGATGTTATTTTAGGGTAAAAATGGTAATTCAGCTTAAAAGGGCTGACTTTTTTAACTTTTAGTTTTTTCAAAAAAATTTCAATAGGAAAAAAAGAGACTAAAATATTAAATATTTAACTAAAAGAAACGAAAACCCCAAACTTGATGTTAATAATAATTATAATCATTAAGATTTAGCTAATAATACTAGCAAAATTTAATTTTTATTGATATTAATTTTAATATTATTATTTGATATTAATCTTAGATGTTTATGTTTTACATATTATGTTGTAAATTGGCTTAAATTTATTTTTTTAAAGGTTATAAATATGTTTTTTTTATATTTTTAAATTATTATTTTTAAAAAAACAGGGCCCTAGGCTTAAGGGCTAACCCTGCCTTGTGAGCTTAGACGGGGTTGCAAAACGAATCTCTGAAATATAATCAGGTTTGTTAGAGCTAATGGGCGCTCTAATTCGGCTTTTACAACCCAACTTATTCAAAGCCGGACGAACCGCCAGCAAATCCGTTTGCCCGAAAGGCACGCATAACTTCATATTATTCGGTTATTACCTCAGAACGTTTCCCTCTCCACTGCGCTCACAGGGACTAATATGCTGACGCTGCTGTTACTCTTCAGTTCTCTTTTCCTTTTCCTGTCATACAAATTCGCCACCGCTTATGGTAGCTTATTCAAGGCTTTTCTTTTGTTTCTAATTCTCTATATCGATTTAACTGACTTTCTCTTTATTTTCCGTCTAGGTGACTTCACTTTGATGTCCAAGAAGCAACCGAAACGTGAAGAAATCGAAGATAAGGTAAGTAAACTCTATCTGATGAAAACATAATTTTCCAAAGGGCTTGTTTGGGATGATGGGATGGAGTGGGGTGGGAAATAGGAAAAAAATCATAATATCATTGTTTGAATTGTTAAAGAATAACGGAGTGGGATGAATGACGATGGATTCCTAAATTCCGTCTCTGCTCCTCAAACTCCAATTTTTTAAACCCTTCCGGGGGTCTGATATCGACTTTCTCCGTCTCTTCTACTACTGAAATTAACATTTCTTTAATATGAATTATAATATCATGTGCCCCTTGTTTCATTGTTTTTTTTTAATGAATAAATCTCTCTCTTTTTTTTATATGAAGTAATTTGGAAAATTTTTAGTATATTTTTATTTAATTTTTTTAAATAATTAGAATTAAAAAAATCATATTTATAAAAATTTCGAGAGCCCTCTGGATTATTTTAAGAAGCACTAGCCACACGCAAAGTAATTTTAATTTTTCATAAAATCAAACTGATTATTTTTAAAAAATTAAACAAACATTTTTAAATTTATCAAAAAAAATTTTCCGGGAAAAATGAAATTTTTCATTAGAAAGAGCATCTCGCGGGATAATGCTTCTTGTTGTTGTTTTAAGTTTAAGTATGTGCTTATATTTCAAGCCCTTCCCAAGCCATTGACCTTTCTAGTCTACTGCATTCAATATTCCCAGACAAGACGGGACTCTTTTATGAGCCATAACTTTTTTGTTTAAATCAATTATTTCAGGTTGTTTGGATTACCGGTGCTAGCCGTGGAATTGGTATACATTATTGGTGGCTTTTAACCATTATTCTATTTTGATCTTGACCCTTCAATTTGTCTTCCCGCATCACACCTTTTCATTTCCCCTTTTAGTTTCCATTCTTGAATGAATTCTATAATGCTAAATTGCGTCCATAATTATTCTTGTAGCTGGTCATTATGAAGATGGCTAAAGCCAGGGTGCCAATTTGTGATGCTACTTTGAGTGCTTTTATAACCATGTAAAGTTTTGATAAAGAAGCGTATAACGCGTAGTTCACTTCAAATTAATTCAGTTTGTGTACAGATTGGTGCCAAAAATATAAACGCTGCTGGCATTCATTAATCAAGAGGCATTAACCATTCTTTTAACTTACTTTTTCTCCAATGTCATATAAGACTGTTTGTGTTTTCTTCCTTGCTATTTTGATTTCTCGGTGACTATGTTTTAGTCTCTGGTAATGAGTTCATATTTTTCCTGACGTTTTATTTTGATACAAAGTTTTCTTTGTAGATTTTTTTTATATATATACAAAAGTTTTGGTGAGTTGGGTATCGAGGGTCAAAGAGGGTTTATAAAAGTACTTATAGGGGCAGTTATTGATTATCTACAAATGCAGTCCTCACATCGGTAGTAGGATTAAAAACCCTGCCCTTGTGGGGTATGAACTATATCCTTGCCAACTATATCAACTTTTGTTAGCATGTTTTCTTTGTAGGTTTTTGATGATGTGATTGTTGGAAATTCTGTTCTCAGATTTTCTTCACCTAATTGATGTGTTAGCCAATTAGAAATTTCTTTGCTTCCAGGCCACAACTATTTGGAGTCCTACTCAGAATTGATTTTCTATGCATAACTAAGTTCCTGTTCTCCTTGTTTTATAATGCGTGTGAAGGGGAGATTCTAGCTAAACAACTTGCAAGATTGGGAGCCAGGCTAATCATCTCTGCAAGGAATGAAGCTGAGCTGGAGCGAGTAAAGCAACAGCTGAAAGGTATGCACCAACCATGTAGAAGTACGTGAGAATGTGTGATGCACTTATTTTATGTCTAAGCACACTCATAGATGCATGTGGTTGGCCTACTTCCAGGTAAGCATGCGCCTAATGAGGTCAAGGTTTTTCCACTGGATTTAACAACTGGCGAGGATTCTCTTAAGAAGGCTGTTGAGAAAGCAGAATCATTGTTTCCTGGTTCTGGTGTTGATTATATGATTCATAATGCAGCTTTTGAGCGTCCTGTAAGTGACTGATTACTTCATCTAATGGTTAGGATCACAAATTCAGTCAGAATACGGTAGCTGTGGGTTATCGTTTAACTAAATGGTTGACATATGAATTATGAATGTAAAAAGAACCAAAAGTAGAAAAAGTGTTATCTTGGGCTTTCTTTTGTTAGCTTGGCCTATAGTTTTCATTAATTAATTTTTCTTATCTGATTTATTTAGAATTAGAATTTTGCATGTGACTTCATTGTGAATAGTTTGATTTGATTCTTTGTGTATTCACTTGATCCCGTAAGTTTTGCTTGTCTAACTTCACTCCTGAATCCCTCTCCACCGTTGTCTGCATATGTCATTTGTTTTATCCAGTCCAGGAGTGCTATTCTATTGCTATACAACGGGGGATGCAGCTAGTCTTTCTCACCGGATATTGATGGAGTACGGATTTTAAAGGCTTGAATGATGGGAAATTTGAAGATAATTGAGGGAAAATTGATTCTATTTCTTAACAGAACCCTTTTGAGGGAATATATACAAGTATAGAGAAACAAATCAGAAAAATATAGGCCTTAAATCTTGGGATAGGCTGAGATATAGGGAAGGAAAAAGGATGCAAAGAATTTGACTAATTAAAACATACATACAATGCATAAATGATATTTACTTAAGAATGTTGGGTCATCAACACTCCCCCTCAAGTTGGATCATAAATGTTAATCATGTTTAACTTGCCAACAAAATAGTCAAACTTGTCTCGAGCTAATCCTTTCATAAGAATATCTATGGTTTGATCTCTGGATGGGATGTAGGATAGTTGGATAACACTTTCATCAATTTTTTTTCTTGATGAAGCGCTGATCAATTTCAACATGCTTGGTTGTATCATGTTGAACAGGAGTATGAGATATCTTAATGGCTGCCGTATTATCTGAATATAGTTTCATTGGGAGATTTATGCTTTGCTTAAACTCCTCCAAGACTTGCTTGAGCCAAATACCCTCACAAATTCCAAGAGCAATTGCTCTGAATTCAACCTCAGTGCTACTCCTTGCAACAACACTTTGCTTCTTACTTCTCCAAATTACAAGATTGCCCCACACAAATGTGGAATAACTTGAAGTTGACTTTTGGTCATCTTGGTCACTTGCCCAATTAGCATCTGTAAACAACTCCACATTTCTTTTATCTGATTTTTTAAACCACAGTCCACGACTAGGTGAACCTTTCAGATAGCAAAGGATTTTGTAAACTTCGTTCCAGGTGTTTCTGCTTCTGATCATGTGAGTGTTGACTAATCACACTTACTGCAAATGCAATGTTTGGCCTGGTGTGAGAGAGATATATCAACTTTCCCACCATATGTTGGTATCATCCCTTATCAATTGTTTTACCAAGATCTTCATCTTCACTGATCTTGTCCACTCTTATGGAAGCATCACTTGGTTTGCATCCCAGCATGCCTGTCTCCTTTAGGAGATCCAGATCATATTTTCTTTAAGAGATGTAAATCCCCTTCTTCGATCTGGCCACTTCCATCTTGAGGAAGTATTTCATTTCTCCAAGATCTTTTATCTAGATCTCTTGGGCTAATGCAGCTTTAATGTGGTCAATTTCAACTGTATCATCTCCAGTGAGAATAATATCATCAACATAGACAACTAGAACTATCATTTTTCCTTTAACATAGTGTGATCACTTTGTCCTTGAGAGAAACCTTGCCTCTTTAACACTTGAGTAAAACGTTCAAACCATGCCCGAGGTGATTGTTTTAATCCATATAATGACTTCTTTAGCAAGCACACTTGGTTTGATTTCTTTACTGGAAACCTGAGGGATTTTCATATATACCTCTTCCTTGAGTTCGCCATTCAAGAACGCATTTTTGACATCTAATTGATGTAACAGCTAGTCAAAATTGGCAACTAATGACAGTAGTACCTTGATGGTATTCAACTTTGCCACTGGTGCAGATTTCTTTGTATAATCCATCCTATAGACCTGTGAGAAGCCCTTTGCAACAAGTTTAGCCTCATATTTTCCTTCCATTAGCTAGATGTTTAGAAGTGAAAACCCTCTCACAACCAACTAGCTTTTTTCCTTTAGGGAGATCAACCACTACCAAGGTGCCATTTTGTTCAAGGGCCTCCATTTCTTCCAGAATTGCTTTCCTTCATTCTGGTTTGGCTAGGCTTCATCAATGTTATTTGGTACCTTGACACTATCAAGGTAAGCAACAAACGCACGATATTTTGAGGAAAGTGCTTGGTAGGAAACAAGCCTTTCTATGGGATGTTGTGTGCAAGCTCTAGGCTTCTTTCTAGTTGCAATCGGAAGATCCAGGTCTTTTATTTCTTCTGCCTGCTCATTGGTATGACCAATACCTTGTTTCTCCATTGGACTTGCTGCTAGTTTTGACTCTTGGTGAGTGCTAGGAGTTTCGGGCACAGTACCTGTCTTGTGTCTTCGCGCATAGAACTTATCAAATTTCCTGGTGGTCTCTCCCCTTGGGTCAGACTTTTTTGTTTCATTTGGTAACTCCCCACTCTCACTATCAGTATCATGGGAAGCAAGTTCAAAAGGTGACAAGTCGGGTTTATGTTCAGCTTCATTTGTGGGCTGAAATTCACTCCATTTCTCCCCTTGAATTGAAGGCGCATGGTAGTAAGGGACTTCTTTGTGAAAGGTAACACCACAATTAATCTAAAGACATTTTATAGTTGGATCAAAGCACTTATACCCATTTTTAGGAGGTAGAGTAACCAAGGAAAACACACCTAACTACTTGGGGGTCAAGTTTGTTACTGTGGTGTAGGTGGATATAGGAAGTACAACCAAACACACATAGGGGAAGATTATTTGTGAGATATGATAGATTATAAGTGGCACAAAGAAGCTTTAAAGTGGTTTTTAAGACAGCGTTCTACTAGTTAGACGACTTATAAGATAAGTAGCAGTGAGGATAACATCGTCCCAGTGATATTTGGGCACATTGCTGCTAAGCATAAGGGCTCTAGCAATGTCAAGGATGTGGTGATTTTTTCTTTCCGCAATCCCATTTTGTTAAGGATTGTAAGGGCATGCGCTTTTATGAATGATTCCATGATCTTTAAGGGAAGTGGAGAGATTTTTGTTGAAATATTTAGTGCCATTGTCACTGTGAAGGATTTGAATGTTTGTGTGAGGTTGTGTTTGAACCATTCTGTAAAAGTCAACAAAAGTTTGATAAACTTCAATTTCATCTTTCAGGAGGAAAACCCAAGTTACTTGAGTGTGATCATCAATGAAGGTTATAAACCATTTAGTTTAAGTTTGGTTTGGAGTCCTAGTGGGACCCCACAAATCACTATAGATTTTCAGCTATGAAGTTATGGGTAGCGCCACTGTTAATCAGAATTATCACTTCAGTGCCTCCGATCCTCCCTTTAACCTTCATAGTGTGATTATCGCCGAATCCTCCCATGGAATTGAGAGATAATTCCATCTGTGCCCCTTCATCAGCATTTTCGAATTCCCCTCCTTCAAGTTCAGCCTCTGCGTCATCTTCCTCTCTCTCCTTTTCTGCCCCCATCTCCATTACCAGTACCTGAAGGTTCTTGTTTTTGCACTGGTGGGTCGGGCTGTATTTATCTCCATACTTGAAACACAGTCCTAACTCACGTCGCCTTGCAATCTCAGCGTCAGAGAGTCGTCGTGAGTTTCCTGTCCTCTTCGTCGACGATCCCCAATTCGAAATGCTCGCAGCCTTGGAATGCTCTGTTTTCGTATCCGTTTTCTTCGAATTTTCGGCAGCTGAAGACGTTGCAGTGTGCGTGTTGCGATTCCCTTCAGTCACGTGCGCAACTCGTGTGGAATAAATGGGTTGAAGCGTTTCGGGTTTGGGCCCAAACTGAGGACGTTGGGTTCGGGTGATCCGGGTTTCTCTACAATCTCCAAGTATCCGATTCTCTCCTCTATACACACCGCCATCTCCATCAGCTCTCGCAGTGTCGGAGTTTTCGTTAACTTCAACTCAGCTCTGATCTCTGGTTTTAACCCAGAACGGAATGCACCGATCAAGCATTCTTCAGAGGCCTCCTTCAGCGGCGCAGATAAGAGCTCGAATTCTTCAACAAATTCCAGTACCGTCCTGTCCTGTTTGGATGTGAACAATCGCTCATATTCCCCCCCTGGCTGAGAAGAGTGAAACCTGCGTAGCAGCTCACTCTTGAACTCCGTCCAGTGACTCAGAGGTATCCTGGTCTCCAGCCATTGGTACCAGTTTAATGCCTTTCCCTCAAGACATACCACCACAGCCTCAAGCTTATCTCGTTCTGCAATGGAGTTAACATGGAAATATCTCTCCACCCGAAAAAGCCATCCTAGCGGGTCCTCGCCTGAAAAAACAGGTAATTCTAACTTTCTATATTTGCTTCCGTTTGTATCACCGCCTGGGTTGCTCACTGAAACCTCCTCATGACCTTCTTGTTCGTTTGCACGTGGCCCGGTTATCTTCTTCTCTATTTGCACCAAGGCATCATTAATAGTCTTCAATGTTTCTTTAATACCGTTTACATCTCGGGTCAATACCCCAACCGTTTCCTTCAGTTCCTGTACCTCCAGATCAGCATACTGGACCCTTTCCGCCATATCTCCTTACACACCACACCCAGAGATTGTACCTGCTCTGATGCCAAATAATGTGTCCCAAACCAGAATCACAGCAAAGAGTAATAAATAAGACAGCAACAGCAATTAATATGAGAGGAAAATACTTAGGTTTTGATATTAATGAGATGAATAACCGAATCAGATGTACATGGGAACTCTGATTCTGGCCCAAAACCCTATTTCCCCTAGAAGATGATAAAACACTCTAGCAACACAGATTACAAGCTTCCATACAAGAGTCTCACTCCCATTGGCATTCGAGAGGCCAATCTCTCCTTACTATTCCAGTCTCCTTCTTCTTCTTCTTAGCCCTCCCTTCCTAAACAAAAGACTACTAATACCTTCAGTGACTGACACATCGCCCATACTACCCAAAAGATCCCAATCATTACAAAAGATCACAAAATACTGTTCCTTACGGCTATGGACTGAAGGGTAAACTTCTAGACTGGTTCAAGTATTTTCACTAGAGTTATTCTTCCCCTTTGACTTCCTCTGATATGTCTTAAGAAAATAACGGGCCCTATCAGTTGCAAAGAAGTTAACATGGCAATTTGTGTTCTTTGCTAGTTGGCTAATAGACAGTAAAATACACTTTAACTTAAGAACGTGAAGAACATTATGTAAAGTTAAGGTAGTAGAAATATGAATATTGCCAATGCCAGCCACTAAACAATTAGAATCATTGGCAATAGTAACAGCAATTTTTTTCTTGCATGAGACATATGTCGTGAAAAGTGTAATATTATCGATTATATGATTAGATGCACCTGAATCTATAATCCAACAGTTCCTTGAGCACTTACCTTTGATGGTACATAGTGCTTGAGGGAAGTTGCCTCGTTTAGCCATAGTTGCAACTAGTTGTTTGTCACTTTTCATGACAACAAGCATTTCTAGAATCTTGTTGAGAGGATCATCTTGTGAAGACATGCTAGGTTCCTTGGAAGTTTTAGCTATATATCCGTGACCTCTACTTTTTCGAGGTCTCCAATCAGGAGGTCTTTTATGTAACTCCCAGCAAGCGGCTTTAGTGTGCCCTACCTTGCTACGATGATCGCAAGTAAGACGTCCCTTATTATTCTTTTGCTCATTTAAACGTACAGCAAGTGCAAAAGATGATTCGGGCAATGTAGATTGTGCTGTAGAGTCCCCTTTCAGCATGACTTTTCGCTGGGATTCTTCCCATTTTAGTATAACAAATGCTTCTCAAACAGATGGAAGAGGTTTTGTGCTCAAAATTCGCCTTCTAGTATCATCAAACGCAGCATCCACACCTACAAGTAACTTAAATAATCGCTCCTTTTCTAATTTTTTCTGGGATTTGGCAGCGCCAGTGGGATAGCACCATGTATCATCACTCATTAAGTCTAGTTCTTGCCAAAGAGAGTTTTTTTTTTTTTTTGAGATAATACTCACCCAAACTTTGACCATTTGGATAGAGAGTGAACGTTTTTGTTTTATCTCAAATACTTGAGAGACATTTTCGCCATCACTGTAAGCTTCACGAGCTTAGGCAGTAGGAAGAAACATGAAGCTTTTTTTTATGGTTGGAATCATAGCATTTATGAGCCATGAAGAGACTAGGGCATTTTCAGATTTCTATTTCTTCCAAGCCTTGACGTCAGACATTGGAGGGGCAAGGGATTCCCCTGAGATAAAACCTAATTTGGCACAACTTTGAGAGTGAGTGTCATTGACTATGCTGACTCATTATAGTTCTTGCCATTACGATCAGAATCGCAAAGGTCTCAAGACTAGAAATGATGACTTGTGTGGACCTATTTGCAGAGGAATCCTCTGTCACTGGCGGTGTCGTGGACTGCGACTTGCTCTACTCTAGTTAAGGACTCATCTCCGACTTAGTATCTGAAGAAGAATCGTGTTCTCCCTCCTGTTGCTTTGATGTCGTGAAGATAATTGAGGGAAAATTGACTCTATTTCTTCATAGAACCCTTTTTGAGGGAGTATATACAAGTATAGAGAAACAAATCAAAAAAATATAGGCTTTAAATCTTGGGGTAGGCTGAGATACAGGGAAGGAAAAAGGATACAAAGAATTTGACTAATTAAAACATATTTGCAATACTTATTTAAGAATATTAGGTTATCGACAAAATTTTTGTTAGAGTATAAACTCAGAAGCACCGATACGTGAAAATGGCCGGCGTGTTCATGTCGGATACGTATCCGACACAGACACATGTTTAGGACGCGGCATTTCCACGTCCCTTTTCCCAGTTTCCGACGGACGTGGGCGAACGCGGGTCGAGACGGGTTGACATGGGCGGACGCGGGTCGGACGGGGCCAGACGCGGGTGGTTGCGAAACTTTTTATTTTTCACTTTTTTTTACTCAGTCCCAACTCCAGAAACCTGATGCCCTAAGATTCTCAACTCCAGTTGACCCTTTTCTCGCATTTGCCGCTCTGTTGCTTGCTGCCTCGTCGACCGTCATTGTTCTTCAACTCTGTGTTTTCACTTCTCACTTCGCACGCTGCCTCACCGTCTGAACTCTACCTCAGCGCCTTCGACAGTCGTCGTTCTTCCGTCTTCAGCTTTTAATCTTGGTAATTTATCTTTAGTTCTTCAGTCTTCACGTATGGGTGCCTGAGCGACTCTTCTACTCTTCACTTCTTTTACTCTTCTGCGCTGAGCCTTCAATCTTGAATATTTATTGATATTATTACATTACTGGTTAATGAATATTTATTACTCAATTTTACCGCTGAACCAAGAGAGAGAGAGGCAGAGCAACTTGATCAGGTTTTCTAATTTAATACTAAATTACTGCTTTAATTTTTTTTATTTAGATGAATTATATTGCTGAGTTAAACATTGATTTATTTTAAATTATATTTTTAGACATCCAAATATTTAATATTTAATTATTTATATAGCCGTACCCGTATCTTAAAATTTTAAAAAATAGCTGTGTCCGCGTATCATATCGTATCGTATCATGCCCGATACTTATACCCATATCGGTGCTTCATAGAGTATAAACCAGAATCTAAAACTTAGAAACTAACGAAGTTAATAGGAGAATCTCTAGTAATTGATCCGAATAATACTTCACGTGATGGTAACCAGTCCAATAACTGACTCCTATTCTTAAGACAACACCCCACAAACTGTCAGCACATAACAAAAAAGAAACTAACGTCTGACTGCATAACACGTGAGAAAAACTAACATCTAATGAATTTCGCACATCATGGAAGTTGCTCCATCTGTATAACAGGTTCATCCCTACTCTCCTGCTTTATTCCTCTTCTTTATCCTGCTGTACGTCATAATGAAGTATTCTATCAGATATTCCTCTTCTTCTCTGCATGTCATTGTCCATGGAAAGACTCTCACTCATAATTTGCAAATTTTGATTCGCATTAATGCAATAAATTATCAACAAATAAGAAAATTACTTTGGCAACGCAAAATTGATAAGATAGTATAACATTTTCTCTATAGCACTATTTCCCACAATTTCAGTGAATAAATGTTTCCTCACATCATACTAGAATTATGTAATGATGCACCTGAGCCAAGGATTTGAGGTCCAAGAGAGGAGTGGCAAGGCAAGCAATGGAGTTTCATGGCACCATCTGAAAAATACAATGACAGGACCAATTAAGACCAGAGATCAGTTGTGGTGTTGCATCAATTGTCTTTGGGTGAATGATGGGGGAAAATGGAGCATGTGGCGGAAGGCAGCTTGGATGCATCTGCATGTGGTGGGAGGTTATGCAGGATTCAGTATTAGACTCTAGGGTTGGCTGAATTGGATCTCTTAAATACAGTGGAGGAGTGTGTTCCAAATAAAAGGATAAAATAGGGGTGAAATGAATGCACATCTGGAATGGGACTTGCTAGAAGGAACCATTGCAATTTCTAATACCATAAGAAGCTATGTAGATCAGTTGTGATGTGTTTGTACTCCTTACATTGTTGTCTTATTTTTAGGGAAAAATAAAAAAGAGATAGAAGTGCCATATAACAAAGTCATGATCCTAGACAATATTTTGCATAACACAGATACAGATTCAAATATTTACACTATTCATACAAGTTAATTTGGATTTGTTAGAGTTTCCTAGATAAAGGTTTGCTGTTAGACAATCTTAGGAATTTCACCCCTTATCATTTGTCTTCAATAAAATTATTATTCGTAGTTCCTCATTGCCTGCTGTACACTGCCTTTGCCTATCTAATTTTTAATTTTCATTCATCTGAATCTGTTTTGTAGAAAAGTTCAGCTTTAGATGTAACTGAGGAAAGTCTCAAGGTAATCATAGTGGAGTCTCTGAATCCCTGATACTTATTTGCCTCAGCTTCTCTTTGAAAGATTGCTTCTCTTTTTGTTGAAAGTAGTCCTTATAATATGTGTCTGTGTGTGTGTGTTTTGCATTGCTTCTTCCTTCTAAGCAGGCAACGTTTGATGTCAATGTTCTTGGAACAATAAGTCTCACACGGCTGTTGGCACCTTTCATGTTGAGGCGGGGGCAAGGTCATTTTGTGGTGGTATGTGATGTGATAATTCTCTGAGGATATCTAATATTGCTTATGGAATTGTTTATCTGTTGAGAAGAGCTATGCCTGAAAGTATAAAGGAATGGTCAGCCTTTTTAATTACTGTTCACTCAATTTATGAATTTATGACTTCAACTGTTTCGTTAAAACATATTGTTATATGTTTTTATGTTTTGTGTGCATCAATATTATTACATTCCTAAAGTTGGACATTGTATGATGTTGTTTTTCTTCTTATTTCCCTTTTTTTAAAAAAAAATTTTTGCACGCAGATAAGTAGTGCTGCAGGGAAGACCCCTGCCCCTGGTCAGGCTGTTTACTCTGCTTCCAAACATGCTCTGAATGGGTACTTTCATTCCTTGCGTTCTGAGGTATGCGTGTAGTTCCTTTGCCTTCAAAAGAAAGGCCAGTAACTAACGGCATATAACTATGTAACTGTGATACAGATCTTAGAGGAGGCGGAAAAAAATAACAGTTTTTAATTCTTGTTTAGTTTACTTGGTCATGCCTACTAAGCTTTTACGATTGCAGCTCTGTCAGAAGGGAATCAAAGTAACTGTTGTCTGTCCTGGACCAATAGAAACCTCAAATGTTTCTGCAGCAAAACCTTTGGAGAAGGGCTTGTCTGAGGTGTGTTCCCTTGCTAATTCATTATCCTTAGCTTGTGTACTGTAAAGACTCTAATTGAATCTGTTTTTTCCTTACTTTCTTCCAACCACGTGGACAGTGCAGCTATGTATTTTCAAATTAAAAAAGTGCTAAAAACATGACAGTTGTCAATAATTTCGGTTTTCTAGTTTATATTTATGGACACATGCTATGCCAGAAGGAAGAAAGAGTTGCTTTCATTATTTCATAAGCATTTCTAAGTATTAAATTTTTGAACAACATCTACTTAATTTGCTCCCTTTTCTATTTTATTATGGTTAGGTTTGTTTTCTGCTCTTTGCCAGGCGTATAGTTTTCTGATCACATACTAGCTAAATGGGGAAAGATTTGTGAAAATCTATGTAACTTTATTATGGCAAAAAAAGAGAAATTAATGATGTTATATAGATTGAGGTGAGGAGCAAGAGAGTAAGTCCCGAACTATATACTTATTTTCTTATTTTGGTTTTCTTCTTGCTACAATTATCAACATACTTGAGACAGAAGCGTGTGCCATCAGAAAGGTGTGCAGAACTCGTTATCATTGCTGCAACCCATGGCTTAAAGGAAGCTTGGATATCATATCAGGTATATTCATTGGTGTTAGTTGGTCATATCTAATTGCCTTCATTTCATAGTGGATTATGCATCTCTGCTGCTGAAAAAAATGACTGTAACTTACTGTTTTCTACTTACTTTCCATTACCTTGTATTTTAATCCGCTCCCTTTCAAGTTTTGACACGAGGTGCTCCTAGACTACCTTTTTCTTGGACTAAGTTTTGTTCCCGTGTTAAATTGAGAATTTTCATGATTATTGTATGTAGTCTTTGGCGAATGAACAGAGTTCTGAAGCTTTCTGCTTGAGATACTTGTTCCTCTTAAGGGCTAACTTAATTGGATTATTAGGTGAATGGCTGTCAATACCTCAGTGTAGGTTCGGGATACTCCTTTGTTCCACAGTCTGGGGCTATTTAAACTAACCAATTAAGAATTCTCAGATGTACTGTACTAGTATTAGCAAGTGCATCTTTGAGGCAGTCATCAATTCTCCCGAGAGGTCACAATTACCGCGAGCAAACATATTAATGATGAGGAAGGCATTTTTGCTATGCTATTAATACTTTACTTGCTTTGCTATTCTGCCCAACTTGGTTGTTGAAAGACTCTCCATGGACTCTCTTCAACATGCTCCTTCACCTTCTCACCACTCACACCCTCTGCACCCATTCTGTTTCCCTTGTTCCTCTCTCTGGCTTCCACCACAATGTTTCTTCACATGTCCAAACCATTCACATTTCATACACAGCAAACTCATACTATCATAGTATATAGGCATATGTACACCATCAACAACAAATTCAGGTAATTGGGGCTTAGCCAGGTCTACCTCAACTCATAATTTGGCAAACCTCCACTTCACTTTTTTGGCAGCTGGGATATCAACTTTAATAGCCTTCCCAATTTTAGAACCAAAATTGTTCAATATCTTTTTATCAAAATATTCAAAATAAAGGTCCGGCAACTGAACATAAACCACAATCTTAGAAATCGCCACATTTGGTTTGAACTCCGGTTTCCACCGAATAACACTTAGATAACTATCAGCCTCAACCCATGGACCACCACTTAGCACCTCCATATAGTCTTCCTCATTCTAAAACTCAGCCAGAAAAAATTCATGTCCGATATCCACAGCACCTACCTTCCCTCTTTTCCCCCAAATCTACGCAATCCTCCTATATAGTGGAGCAATCGCCACTGGTTTCCCTTCACTTTCAATATCAAAGTTTGAGCAAATAGTTCCATTAACCTCTCCTCTTGATGATCAATTATGAAGTTAGGGCACAACGAATCATCCCTAGTCACATGAATCCCTTTTGCCACAAAACTCCAATCACTACCATCCTTCCCCTTCATTATCCCATTAGCAAATCATGAAAAGATCGACCTCCAATCCTTTCCGTACTATCGTCATGGATCCAATCCTCACCACGCTTCCTCAAAGAAACATTTCCAGAAAAATTGTCATTATCTTTTGTCACCTTACTCCGATCAAGCACATCCTGTTATTCGCCTGTTAATGCCATACTAGAATCTGTTTGGTGCTCCTCTGCGCCCAGCCATACGGAGGAGAGCACCAAAGAGAGCATTTTATTTTTCAAAAGAACAGACCAACGATTTTAACAAGTTCAAAAGACCAGCCTGTCTTCTATATTTCTAAGCAATGTAAAGTGCAGAAAGTTGCACTAAGGCGAAGTTTTCCTGTTTGTTTTGACTGAATTCAGAAGATTGGCTGAATTGCTTTATCTGAACAACTTGTTAGCTTTTAACTTCTCGAGATACATTACGCATTTTGCCAGTATGTTTTGGCACTCTTCATGGTTACTTGCACTATTTTTTATTATTCTTTCTTTGAACGGAACATGATTCTTTACTCTTCATAATTACAGAAAATCATAACTTAGTTTAAATATTTGTTGGCAATGCTAAACTGAACTCTCTTTGCAGCCTGTGCTTGCCGTAATGTATCTTGTTCAGTACATGCCAACGATTGGTTATTGGCTCATGGACAAGGTATTAACCAGCTCTTCAAAATGCATTTTATTCAGTATACATCAGATAAAATATCTGTATGATGCCTGCATTAACTGATAAAAATGACTTATAGATTGGTAAGAATCGGGTAGAAGTTGCTGCACAGAAGGGAAACACGTATTCTTTGAGCCTACTACTCGGAAAGAAGGCGGCATGATGCTCATCGGCGTACTATATATTTGGTGCTTGTCCTTGATATATTTGGTTTTATAAAGGCGCCCTACAATTTCAAGTTGGGGACAGATGTTACTTTTGCAGTCCCTGAGTGGTGAAAATGTGTACCGCCTTGTTCAATGACCAATCGCATGTCAAGAAATCCTGCCATAAAAGTAGCTGATCCATACATACTATATAATATAGTAACCCAAACTAAAATTATTTAAAATTTTTTGTTACTACTGTTGACATAGGAAGCATATGTGCTTTGATGATACAATTAATTCTACAAGATATCTAATACATGTGACAGTAATTTTTTTATCAGGCATACTTAATGTTTAAAATCAATTGATATAGTAAATTTACGTTTAATTTGCATATAATCATATGTATAATAATAATGTCTAAATGGAAAAATTAATATTCTATGTCAACAATGCACAATATATATGAACATAGAAACATCATTATATTATAGTATTATAAATAAAAGGAACCATTACACTGTACATTATTGGGTAAATGAGAAGTTATTTTTTGAACTTTAGGACAAATAGTATTATAAATTTCAATTTTATTTATTGTGTAAATTGTTCTTTTAATTTTTGAGAATGGTGTAATATAGTTTTATTGTTAGTAAAAATTAAACTTTAATAGTTAATTAATCAAAAAATAATAAAAAAATTTAAAAAATTATAGGAATTTTTTCATCCGTTCTTGTAATATTTTAGGTTTTTATTTGTAATTTTTGAATTTTTTAGTATAATTTTTTTAATTTTTTATGTCTTTCTATAGTCAATTTAAGTTAAAATTAACTTTTGATAATGATAAAATTAGGTTATATATTTTTTAAAAATTAAAAAAAAACATAATAAATGAGTTTAAAATTGATGATATTATTAGATTTAACATTTAAAAAATAATTTACTTATTTATTCTATTTTATTATTTTTTATGCACACTAAAAGTAAGGGTGTTTGCTGACTAGGGATTGTCTTGAGTCGTTGGCTTCCTTGACTTCCCAGAGCTTATTGAGAAGACTCTAAAGTTATTTTTTTCAATTTTTTTTTTACTTGGTTTGACTCAAGATCATTGTTTACAAAATTGGATCGGCTGGTCAAACCAATGAACCGGCAACTCAGCCATCTGTCCGATCGGGTTTTGAAGTTTAAAGTGACAATGACTAACTCGGGTGATCTGGAATTTTTTTAAAAAAAATTTTTCTGACCCCAAAAACGACATCGATTTAGGGGTCAAAATGTATTAAAAAAAAATAAAACACCAGAAGGCAGAAGCACAAATGCACAATGTCTTTCTCTTCCTCTGCTTGTCGCGTTTCATGGCTTCAGAGTTCTTGAGCTCGACTTCTCGGCATCTCGCTCGTTATTGTCCCTGACAAAGCTTCGACCTTCTTCACGTTCTCTCTTCAAGCTTTTGGCCTTTGACCTCTAGCGTTCTCATCCCTGAGCGCTCTCGGCGTTCTTTACATTATTGTTCTCGGCGTTCGCAACATACCTTACTAACTAGTAGAGGGAAGAAGATGATGAAAGAAGAGAGAAGATGTAGAAAAGAGAAGAGAGAAGATGAATTGAAAATATAAAATGCGTGCAAGAAATATGAAAAGCTTTGAGCGGTGAATGGTGAGATGATGGGTGTATTGGTTTTTGAGCGGTGACTGGTGAGATGATGGGTATACAGGTAAGTCTAAAATAATTATAGAAAAACAAAAAACAAAAAAAATATCTTAAAATATTGTAAAGAAATTGAAAATCAAGATCACATGTTGCTATTGTTTATTTTAACATGCAAAGAGGATATGTATCGGGCTGTAAATAGGCGAGTGAGGTCTACATATTGTAAATTCCTTTAAAAAAGTTAACGAAATAGGCATTATTTCTTATGAAATATTTATTATTTACTATATCATAAAAAATATATTATTTTAATCATTTCAGTTTCTCCTTGGATTTGATTTTGGCTGAACTCATTTTTTATCTCGACTAATTTAATAACAAGTTTGATTTTCAATACTTTACACGAGATAATTTGGTGCTTTCGTCAAATTAGAGAGTGTCATGCCATGTTGGTTTAGTCAAAAAAAATAAAAATAATTGTAAAAATTAATTCAATTTACTTCATAACTATAATTTACTTCATCTAAAATATATTCCATTAAAAAATATTATTTTGATCAAGATTAAAGTTCGTTTGAAATATAGATATTCAACAATATAATGTATTTTTTTACATGATATTAGATTAAAAATATAATTTAAAATTCAAAATAAAATTAGGAGATTAAAATCATAAAATTTTCAAAAATAAAATTTTCAAAAATATTAATAAAATCAAGTTATTAAAATTAAGCAATATCATTAAATTGAAAATTTGAAATGATAAAAAAAATATTCTAGGCTGGGGGCGACAGCAGAGCTAACTAATGATGGCGCAGAAAAAGGACAACAGTACTAATGCCTTTATCAATGTATGGCCGAGTCGATATTAATATTATTCCATTTTTATTTTTTATTGAGAAAATCATTTTTATTACCTATAATTTTCTTCAATTTTTAATTTGGTATCTCTATATTTTTTACTTTTTATTCCTTCCTTCAAGTTTATGCAGTTAACTATGTTACACCCTCTACAATCGGAAATCGCCATAAAGGCTTGCGGAGGAGGAGACTGAGTTATCTATGAAACTTTGAGATGACGTGCATGTGATCTCGAAGATAACCGGATGCGATCAGGGAGATTCGACAAAAAGCTCAATCTTCGTTCAACAAGAAGCGATAAGGTGATTATGCGATCTCGATTGAGCAATCTTGCTTTGTCTGTGACAGGGTGATTGTGTGGCAAGTTGGAACACAGCGAGGGATTTTGCAATAGGGTTCATCTGAGAGGACACTTTTCTTACACCAAAAATAGCCTTGTCTCTCCATTTTTTAAGAGCAAGGTATAGTCTTGAAATTTGACTTCAATAGCTATGGTGGTTTTTTCAATTCCAATGGCTAAGTATTTGTCTATAAAACATATCGCATATTTTATAGCTTATATGTTAGTGTAGACTATTTGTGTTGGATTAACATAGTAATTTTGCAGCTTGTTCACTTAATAGTATAATGCATACTTGATAAATTAAGCTACGTTTTGACTGCCAGTGACGTTGTTCAACTTGCTTTTCGTAATCTAAAATTGTTTAAATCTAATGATCTTATAGTATGGTTGTGCTTTTCCCTAAGCCCATAGCTTTCTTGAGTGTAAGAGGCATCATTTTCCCTGTCACATCTCAGTAACGTTGTAGCGAAATAAGGAATCAAGTGAGGATTACCAAATAAATTGTAAATATAGTGTTTTTGATGGCCCTTGCTTGATCAAGTGAAATGTCAAATAGAAATGTAAGAAGGTAATTGTATTATTTACATAGTTGACTCGCTGATTTTTCCAGGTCTGTACCTCACCCCTTCTGCTTTGCTAAAAACCTTAGTGGGAGGGAGAAAGGATGCAAAAGGGTTATTTTTAACTCAAATAGTTTCTCCAATCATTCAAACGAAAATAACTCTTTTATTGTCATTGGTTTTGGGTTCTAAATTGGTGCCTTGTGGTTTTCTTTTTTTCCTTTGGTAGAAACTTGAAGGAGGGAATAAAAAATAAAAAAAGTATAAGTACCTAATTAAAAATTGAGAAAAATTATAGGTATCAATAAAATTGTTTTCCCTTTTTTATTTTGACCAAAGTCACAGTGATCACTAATCAGACCATACTGAGTTTATGAGAGTGTGGCTTGTGAGATTATGCTTAAAATTTTAACAATATTGTGAGACGAATTCAGAATTCTCAATTAGATTAGACTGATGAGGCATGTTCAATAAGTTCTCTTTAATACTTGGAGGTGATTTCTGGTAAGGCGAGAGGGGACTTTTGGTGAGGCGTAAAGTGATTTTTATAAGGTTACCCATACTTCTAATACCTTGAATCTCCAAGCCTTGGTAGAGCAAATGACAATATCTTTGTTTTCTTCTCCTAACTCTTGTTTTTCATCTCAGAATGCAAACTTTTTAGTTAGGTTTTTGGCCATGCGCCGCAGTACACACTGCACATATTGCTGTATATGACACAAAGAGCTCTCCTTTATAATTTCAGGCCTATTGTGCTATGGTGCACTCTACACGTGTCGTGGCATGTGGTACAGAACCTCTCTTCTTTGTTTTTCTCCCTTTTTTAGGTCTAGGTGACTTTATGCCACTTCAAACTCAATTCTAAAGTTGAAACCATAAGCCAATGCATTCATTAGTCTTTTCTAACTACACACCACATTAATCTACTAAACAATCCTCATTTAGCTTAATTGCTTGTGTTTAAATTTCTAGGATGTTACAATTTCCAGTAAGGCGATTTTGATAAGGAAAGGAAGAACATGTAATATCCTAAGTTTTAATCCCTTAGTTAATTAAATAGATAATTAAGTTTAAATTGAGTAGAATTGATCTAGAGGAAGGTTAAAGAAGATTAAAGGAGTATCCGGGGGTATAGCCTTAAAAATGGGTTCGAAATCGAGTTCGAGCCATATAGGTCTAAGAGAGGGGGGAAATGATAAAGTGTGCCATGCGCTACGGCATGCACACTATCCGCTGCGGCTCAAGGAATTGAAACGGAGAGAGGAAGCCTTTTTATACCATCCACCATGATGTAGAAAGCATTCGCCACAATGTATAATCATAGAATAGCATGGCCATAGCATTCTATGTCACACGCCACAGCACATAGCCAAGTTTCTATTGAAATAAGGTAGTATTAGTTCAAAAATTAAAGGAGGAAGTGTGAGAAAAACGTGGGAGCACGACTTTACTCAGCTAGAGCTTTAATTTTGAGAAGATTAGAGATATTTTGAAGCCATTAAATCCTAAGAGTAAGTCTCTTAACCCTCTCATCTTCCTTTATAGCCCATTTTCTTAAGTTTTTAGTTAGGGCTAATTGAAGTTAATTTTTGGTCCATATAGGTTTTGGGTCCAAATTCATTGACTTAAATGGAGTTAATGAGAGTTATTTAAGGCACTTAAAGCTATTTGGTTGTTGGAGAGGCATTTATGGCCAAATTTTCATCATAATAAGGGGTGGAGAGGTGTACTGCTATTAATTATGAGATAAGAGCTTAATGATGTTAAGAAACTCAATAGGTAAGCTTAGATGTTAGGAATGAGGATTTTAGGATATGATAGAATTGAAATTTAAAGCTTGACTTGTGTAAATGGTGATATTGATGATTTTGAACATGATTAATTATAGATTAATCATCTATGCATCAGTTTGAGCTTAGAAGTAAT